CGGCACGGCAGCCGCCAGGCTGGGCGTCGCTGGGAAGCGAGGAGGAGGGGGGTGAGGTGTCCCTGTCCCTGCGGCTGTAGCCTCCCCTGACTCCCCCTGGGGACAGCGCGGCGCTGGCCGGGAAGGAGGAGTCACCTGTGGGAAAGCGGTGTGTGTGCGCCTGGGCCGGGTCTAGGGCTGGGGCCTGAGGTGTGTGTTTTAGGGATGGTGTCGTTATGCGCCAGCCTGGCTTCGTTCGCCGTGAGAAGAAACGTGTTCCGGCAGATACTCTCTTGATCCCTCCACTTTAAGGGTAGCCACATACGAAGGATAAGTTTCATAATTAAAATGGCTCTTGGCGTTTTTAGGATCAGACAGAGTACTGTTGTTGCCTTTTAAAAGTCAGTATTGATAGACTGACTGCTTCTTGTTCAGGAGGGACCTGGCCATGTCCAAACTGGCTTCGTGGCCACCATTGGCAGAAGGTAGTTACCTGCGTCAGTGACCAGTCCGAGGGCAGGAGGGGAATGTGTATTTTATTGGGTTTTTTCCTTAACGGTTATTTCTAACCTGCTAAATAACAACAACAAAGTCCACATGACTTAAAAAAAAAAAAAAAACAACACACAAACAAACACCAGTGATCATAGGTCTTTTTAGATCAAGGCCTTGGGAATCAATTCTGTTGACCTATCCGTGTGCGTAGGGCAACATGCTCAACTCACTGTCTCCTTGTTTTGCTTTTAGCTGATGCTTCTGTTAGTTCAACAAAGATGTACGTGCTTATTAAATCAGTTTCATTTTTATAATCTAGTTTAATTTTACTTTTCTCACATTCTGTGAGGTAAAGAATGAAAGATTGCTCATAAGATATGTTCAGCCCTCTTGTTAATGCTAATGCTTTATTGCTTGAGGAAATAATTTTCTCTCATGTTGGAGGAGTAGGGGAAGATTATGGTTAGAGGTTGATTCCACATGTGGTTAAAGTACTCTACAATTTTTCATTTTTAATATGATTTCATTCATAATGTTTGCAATGGGAAGCACAAGGGTGCTTTTATTTGGTTTTGTTTAGCAGCTCTGCAGAACAGAACTTAAAACAGAAGTAGCCGCAGTGCCATTGCTGTGGGCTGGCCAGTAAACCTGAATTGTAAACCTTCTGTACAGCACTTGTGATGGAAAGTGGCACTCAGATGGCACGAATCCATTTTGTTCATAATGCTTGCTCCAGACAAATTATAACAAATGGAGAATGTAAATGCAAAATGGTATAGAAAAATATTAGAAAGTTCCCAGTACTGTACATCAAATTTAGATAGAAGATCTATTTGGTAGCTCAACAGGGAAGGCAAATGGACATAACAAATATATAATAATTTTTTAGACTTAGGTTTACAACTTTGCATGTTGTAACACGCACAGAGTCATAAAATTGTTTAGGTTGGAAAAGACTTAAGATCATCAAGTCCAACCATTAACCTAGCACTGCCAAGCCCACCACTAAACCATGTCCCTAAGCACCACATCTACTTGTCTTTTAAATACCTCCAGGAATAGTGACACCACCACTTCCCTGGGCAGCCTGTTCCAGTGCTTGACAGCCCTTTTGGTGAAGAATTTTTCCTAATATCCAGTCTATGTGTTACATGTTGTTAAGTTTAAACTTCGCACAGAAAGAAAATTTGGAAATGCAAACTGTATTTGAAAGGAAGATAGTTCATATTTTACTTGAGGAGGGGGAAAAAGATAATGTTGCTGCCACTAGTCTATTTCAGGTTTGTAAAGGGACATAAAGCATAATAGTCTGTGGGTTGTTTGCTTCCTTTTAGTGTTCAGAAGAACATACAGTGCAAAAATCTAAGAACGGCCTGAATGACAATCCTTTCAGAAGGTTGTTGGGTTTTTCTTGGTGTCATAGTCTCCTCACGTTCTCCCTCTCCTCCAAATTCTGTTCTTACCAAATCGAAATGTATTACCTCTGCCTGCAAGTGCTCACAGCGGTTGCACAGCTTTTGGACCACGGGGACTCTTGACACACAGGTCATAGTCAACTTCTCTCTTACTTAATGAGTTTTCTGAACTTTGCTGGACAAACTAACTTCATTAACTGTGAATGTTTCTGCTGATCTTGCTAAAGCCTAAGAAATGTGAATAAATAATTTGTTTAAGATGTGTCCTGCACCATTAAGCAGTTTGTAAAGACCTGAGTACGTCCTGGTTCTGTAAGCGTTCAGATAGTTGCTTAGGTTGACCTACCTGAGGGTGGGTCCTGTGCAAGTATTTGCAAAGCCTAAACTTTTGCTTTCTAGCTGAAAGGAGTGTATAGACAAAAAAATGTTTGTTCCTCCTCCTTAAGATACATTGTTCATAAATTAGGTGGCAGCAACCCTGAGGAAACTCTTGCATGTCAAGAGTGTCTGCTAAGAATCAGAGGTGTACTTGGACTTCAGACCATACTACCCACATAAGCAAAGTGCTTGTGGGAATGTGTTCTGAAGCATCCAGTTAAAGATGTAACTTTGATTTTATTGTTTAACGTAGCACAGGGTAAGATTTGTGTCAATTTTGCAACCCTGTTGCTTACTTGTCACTTGGAGTATTTAAGTCAAACAGAACTTCATGGTTACGCCATTTGTGCTCAACAGAAAAAAAAAAAAGCTGGGTTTGGATCCTTCTTACCTTCTGTTTGAATTCTGAAGATGCATTAATTTTATGTGTAAATAAAGATCACTGGATTTTGTTTGAGTGCTAAAGCAAGAGCAAGTCTTCTCCGTTGGGTAATTGTAATCATTGTAACAATAAATTGGTTTATTCAAGTGACATTCAGATGAACCCATGTGACGTGGCTGTAAGCCTGGCTTAGGGCAGTGATTTTTTTTCCTTATGGTTTGGCCGTTTTATTGAAAAGAATAGAGTGAGTTCTAAAGTCAAACTGACCAACTTGTGATAAAGTAGTAGAGAATACTGTTAACTCAGATCAGCAGTTTGACTTGACAGTATGTGTGAGCCTGGACTTCAGTGAAGACTAAAGCCCTATGGCACGAGTGGCAGTAGTGAAATTCCAGTTTGCTGAATCATCACCAAATTTTTAGATTGAGTGTTACTCCATGTTGTATTACTGCCTACTAGCAACCATATTCCTTGATGGGCCAGTTTCCTGAAGCTTGAGGCATTGTTTAACTTTCATGGGAGACGTGTGTGCATGCTGTTCAGAAGGATGGCAGTGAAGTTATAGTTGAAGATATCAGTGATGCAAAGACAAGCTCTAGAAACTGTCTGGTGTATATATGTATATTTGTTTGGAAGGAACACATGCCGCCTGCAGAGGAATTCATCCTGTGTATCTGTTCATAGCACTTCAGTCTGCAGGGGGTTTGGCAATAGGCCAAGTTGATACAACTAGGAAAAAACACATTGAGAGTTGGATCTCAACTAGCTTTCAAACGGAATTGTGCAATTAAGGTTTTTGAGAAGCCTGCCAGGTATTTTAACCCAAACTCATCACTTGACCACTTCTATAAAACATTGTGTGTGTTTGATACTTCCTTTAAAGCCTACGTCTAATGTTAGCGTAATTAAATGTGAAGATCCTTTTTATTGCTCTTGACTAGGTTTTAAAGTGGGTTAACATAAAATTCTGTAGTAAAAGTAATTGTCTTTTCTAAGGGAGCAGCAGGTATTTTATCTCACTTTTTAAGATGTTCATTGGGATTTTTTGTTTATCACAGTTATCAGCAAATAAGGTAAGTTGCAAGTAAGAGGTAAGGCCTTGTGCCTGATTAGGAGGTACTTAAGCCATTGCATGTGGTAAAGTATTTATTAAACTTACACTGTAGGACCTCAGGTAGTCTGTTTCTAAGAAGTTTTGAGTGCACCTTCATTGGAAAGGGGATTTAGGTTATTCTAGGAAATTCTTTTTTAGCATTTTGTAGGATTAACTTTTGTGATTTAGAAATTAGGTCAATCTGATATAAATATATGTGACATTGTACAGTTTTCTTTCTAAATGCACAGAATAATTCTTGTTGTACTCTTCTGTGTGATACAGGTGATACTGGTCAAGGAGCAAGAAGATGGATAAAACAGATTTTGAATCAAGACATGTCTTTCCAACATATAAAAGTAATTTACCCAACAGCTCCTGCCAGGTATTGTTTAATATAGTTTAACTGTAGGATTAAATTACTCTGTTCCAGTACTGTAAAATACGCTTGTGAATATTCGTACAGACTGTCATACTTTCTTATTCTTTCTCATGCATATGCTTTTGGTAAAACTGGAGCTCAGCGGTGCATTGCTGTCCACGGACTGTGATTTTAAGTGGTTAAAACTCTAAATTGTTAAGACTTCACAAGTCACAGTCTCTAATTCAAATGCGGGTTTTGTTCTCCTAACATCTTACCATCTCGTTGATGTAAACAGAAGATGATACTCCAGTGTGGTTATAATGGCATTGTAGAGCCGTGTTCTGGATCATAATCGTGCCTATATTAACTCTCATAAATTAACGACTAATATACTCTGTTGTATTTAATGCCAGGTTTCAGTTCTGAAGGTGGTCAGTTTTTTTGGCAAGTAGAATATGAAAGATCTTCAGCTGCTGGATAGAGGACTAGGAGTTTAAAATGACACATTTCTTCTAGTTTGAATCGTGACCCTCTGTTTCAAAGAGAATTGAGTTCAACGTTCACTGTAGGCACAAATCTTGTTATTAATGACACTGTGTGTTCAGTAGTAGACTGGAAATATAGATAAGAATGTTTACCCCTGGGAATTTGAAAGTTAACGAGGCTAAATTTAAAGGCTAAAAGTTGGACACCTACCTCCATATTTAGCTGTCTAAAGTCATGGCTTTATATTTCAGAGAAGGTTAATTTTTCTTAATATAAATTCATTTTGAAGGAGCATGTGGCTCTAAGTTAGGAAAATGTTTCCTTGAAAGGTAATAGGGTTTAAGTTTCTTTCTGAATTTGTGCGTAAGTGTGGATGAATGCTGAAAGGAAGAGGAAATTGTGACATTCTACACGGACTTTCGAGGTACAGAGCTTTGAAAGTCAGAAAAAAATTTCTTAGAGGGTATAAACAAGTATAATAGCAGATTTTGTCTCGCACTCAGTAATACGTGAAAAAAAAAAAAACCAACCTTTCCTTGACCATGTATTTTTATGATCTACTTAGGCAGGAAAAGCAATTGAGAGATTGCAGTGTGAATGTACTCACTGTGTTACAGAAAAATCAAGCCCCTAAGTGGAAGTCTTTGAGGCAGTGTGTTTTGGGTTAGTAGGTAGTGGGTATGATTTTCTGTAAATAATGTGCTCATTCCTTCATTGATGACAGGCTAAAGTGATGCTAGAGTTATCAGCGGCACATCACACGTACTGATGGGCTCTATTTCTTCCCTGTCAACACTGCAGGTACTGGAGAAATGCAGGAGGTTTTGCTTCTCTGTGAAACAATCTTTCTTCACATTAGATGCAGCCAGAGCACCTCAGACCACATCTGTTAGGCTCGTGCTTCACTTTTCCATCCCACTGCACTTCTAGGGTCCAATCCTTTTCTCATTTGTTTTGATTTCTTTGGATAACTACAGATGTAAACTAAGTATAAATGATTAAGCATCGGGATCTCCTGACTAAAATGGGTGGCAGTTATGGGGAATTTGTTTTTGTCTTAAGCCTTTGGATTTTAGTACTTTGATAAACAGATGGGAAGGAAAGATGCTGTTGTAATTACAAGATGTGAATGAACAGTTAATTCCACTCTTTTTTTAAGTCGAGGTCACTCTTATTCTTCTCTAGAGCAGATAGAGATCATGCATGAGTTGATTCAGAAATGGTTTCTAGCAAAACTGATAAGTTATACATTCAAAGAATAAAAAATACCCACACTCTTTGTCTTTGACTGGCAACATGAAGTACACTTGGGAATATTAGTGTGCAGCCCTGGGTTGCTCATAAGCACCATTAGCTGACATAGTGAAATAAAACAGATGCCCTTATGTACAATAATGTTTGCCACTGTTTGCAGCAATGCTGAAGTGAAGTTTGTAAAGATACGTGTTATTGGTTGACACTGAAACAACAGAAGCCTTTACAGACCCATTTTGTGTTGTTTTGGCATTCAAGTCCAAAGCACACTATGTTTTTTGAAACATTTGTAATGGTTGCTCTCCTTTCTTCCACAGAAAGGAAAAACAAGGCCTAGAGCATCCAAACTTGAATGGCAGACATTAAAATACTAATATCTGCATTAGGAACTTGAATATATGGTCTGATTTTATGTGTATGTGTGTGTATGTATATATGTTTTGATAAGAATTCCAAATGCTTCTGGCACCAACATGGGAATTCCGCATCCCTGATAATGAAACCTATAGATAGATGGTTATGGGTGTGCAGATATGCTGAAGAAGGTTCTGATCCAGTCTTTGATCGTGTAGAGACAAAGTGATATGCTGGTGGAAAGCTATGCTAATGTCATTGAGAGTCTCTGTGGGTGTCACAACCTGCCACTGCATTGTCAATTGTAGGAGCAGAGTGCAAAGCTTGCCATCAGGTTTTGACACTGATAATGAAATCAAAAGAAAAGCTTGAATTTAGGCAAGACCATACCTAGGATTGCTTGGTTAATACGTTCTTCTGGCAAAATGATGTTAAAGTGGGTGTAGTTCATACTCTATGAACTCCTGTTTTTTCCAGCATAACTTACCACATACACATTGAACACTGTACATCAAAGTAGTTACACAAGTAAAAGAAGGTTTGATAATAGAACTGCATTACTAGAGGCTTTGGCAGGATAAACTGCAGGTCAGGAATACCTCTTCATGTTTTTGATGGATATAGTTCTTCTGATAGATAGATCTATAGATTTAGTCTTACACGTTCTTCACCTCTATTAAATAAGAGTTCTGAAAAGCAGTGGAATTCACATTTTGCAACAAAACACCTTTTTTTTTTATTTCTTTGTGGAGGATGGGTGGGGCTTATATTTACGTTTTGTCAAGATTTTATCCTTGGCACTGAAACATACATATTCTTCATTTACTACAACATCAGAGGTTCAAACATATTTTGATTCAAGGGTCAATATGTTTGAAAATTATTTTGGAAAACCAGCCTATCATAATCTAGAAGAATTCTAAAACATGTTCTCTGGCTTCACTAGCCTTGATTTCAGCAAACGCTAGGGTAAAAGCAATAGAACATTACTGAACTACATTTTAGAAAAATGTTTTTTACTAATCTCTGTAGGTCTCTGTAAAAAGTTACACATTTAATTTAATCATTTTTATAATGTGTAACGTCTATGTAGAGAATGATCACCGAATGTCCCCTGGACAGATAAAGAGTTTGCAACATTTTGTCACACTCATCCCCTGTCACTTTTGAAAGAGTCCTATGATTCTCATATTCATTTGTTTGCTGAGGAAAAATAACAGGATGTAGTGCATTTTACTATTAAAAAAGAAAAACTTGCAGAATTTTGAAGTAAAATGCTTACTGTAAAAAGCATGCTTAGATAAAAAAGGGAGAAATATGTAAATTTGAAGTCTCAGTGTGATATAGTAAGAGTAGAAGCACCTGGATTTGTAATATGTTTGAAAATTAAACACACATAGCTGGGGCATGCAAATTTTGCTTTAAAAATGAGAATTTTTAGACATTGCTTACAGAGGTTTTGTTTTTTCCTCTGTAATGTAGGCAACTGGGATACTTAAAAAGGAGTACAGAACTTGTTCTAATAGGTTGTTCTAACTTTAGCTTTCTTTCGGGATCAGTGCTTCTGTACATATATTAAACTTGTTAAACACAACAGAATTCTATTTCCTCTCCCTTGTAATGCCTATGAATATCTTTAATTAAAAAAAAACCCAAAACCTCAAATTGTAGTCCTAGCAGCTGATGCAATCCCTAAAGCCACGTCTACAGTAATAGTTTGAAAGGAAAGGGTTTCCTTTTTCCTTTTTTATTTGGGTCAGGATGGCTACAGCTTTAAATACTGTTTCAGCTGCTACAACTGTGACTTAAACATTAGGTTTCTATTGAGTTTCTAAATCAGAACTGAATACCACCCAATTTAACCTTTTTTTTTTTTTTTAATAGAAAGTGATAGTTTAAATTGGCATTGCAGGAGCTAACGTGGTAAAGTTAAAACCATTTAGGCTCCGCTTGTTTTAATAAGTATACCTTACCTTCTATAATTCCCTTAAAATATCTAGGTCAAAGATTCTTTGCGTTGCCTAGCATTCCATTCTGACAGTCCTCTTTTGCAAGATCAGAAGGTAAACTATAAATACTTTTTGGGCTATTTTGTGGATCTTTTTGACATTCACTCAACATACCTTTCTGTGGCCAATAAGTCTCTATGCAGAGTTTGTTGTCTGTGTTGTTTTTTTTTTTTTCTTTTCCTAATTTATTCTGATTTCCCTTGTCTCTAAGTGTGTGGCTGGTAAGGACTGCTCAGCATTATGTGGCCTGGTACTCCATCCTTTCACCTAAGTTCAGATCTGTGCTCAGTTCATGGGTGGAAATGAGTTTCATCTTGTCGTAGTCCCCATTTGGCTCTATCACAAAACCACCAGACAGTTTGGCACCATTCAGCTACATTGGCAGCCTCTGCCTGTGAGAGGCCTAGGATTGGAAAAGCAGCAGGGGTACTGCAGGTCAGACTGGAGATGGATTGGCGGAGCTGTGTAGGGGAGCGTGCACCGTGCCTATCATACTATTTTTGGCTCAAGCAAATGTTATTAATCCTTCACTTTTGTAAGCCCTAACCTCATTCATAAATTTAACACAAAGAAGTCTTTTTGGAGGTGGAAGTTTAGAGGGACAAATGGGAAGGGTTTTGGTTGGTATCATGGGGTGGTTCTTTCATCTCCCTCTCTTAAGCAGAAATTTAACATTTTCTGCATAATAATGATGGAAGCGTGCTTGAATGAACTTCATATTTTCCTTTTATTTCTTCTCTTGTATTAGGTGAGGAAAACATGGGTATGCATACATGTAAGGCTTACATCATACACTAAATACCATGTGGAATGCAATAAACACTTCTGAGAGATACTTTAGTCATGCTGGGGGAAAACAAAGTGGAACATGATGATAATAATCCTGTATTTCTAATCCCTTTAACTACATCACACTCT